ACAGAAACACTGAGAAATGTAGCTAAAGCTAAATGGTTCACAAAACTTGACGTTATCGCAGCCTTCCACAAGATCCGTGTGGCCAAAGGAGAAGAATGGAAGACAGCTTTCCGAACAAGATACGGCCTATTCGAATGGCGGGTTGCTCCCTTCGGACTAACAGGAGCACCAGCCGCATTTCAACGCTACGTAAATGGTGTTCTACAGGATTACCTTGACGACTTTGTTTCAGCCTACGTTGACGACATCTTAATCTACTCGTCAGGATCGCTTCAGGATCACAGAGAGAAGGTTGGAAAGGTTCTTCAACGCCTTATAGACGCTGGACTGCAGATTGATATCGACAAGTGCGAGTTCGAGACTAAACGAGTCAAATACCTCGGGTACATTGTGGAAGCAGAAGTGGGCATTCGAGTTGATCCTGAAAAGATTATCGCAATCCGCGAATGGGCTACACCAACGTCAGTTAAGGCTATCCGAGCATTTATTGGTTTTGCCAACTTTTACCGAGTTTTTATACCAAACTTCTCGGACATTGCTGAACCGCTTATCAACCTAACTAAGAAAGAGATGGTTTTTCATTGGGACGAGGCTTGCAATCAAGCATTTGAAACGATTAAGGAACTTCTCATTACAGCACCAATACTCGGCCATTTTGATCCAGAGAAGGACACCTTGGTAGAAGCCGACTCCTCAGGACATGCAACTGGCGGCCTATTGCTGCAGAAGGACAAGAACAACAACTGGCAACCCGTTGCCTACTACTCAAAGAAGCACTCACCAACAGAGGCCAATTATCCAATTCATGACAAGGAGCTTCTAGCTATTGTTCGTTGCTTAGAAGCATGGGCTCCTGAACTACGTATGGTTAGGAAGTTCACAGTTCTGACGGACCACAAGAACCTTCAATACTTCTACCGCGAACGACAGCTGTCTGAAAGACAAGTACGTTGGTCAGAGTTTCTCTCACGATTCGACTTCTCCCTGGAATGGAAACCTGGAAAGACTATGGGAAAACCTGACGCCCTGTCACGACGAGAACAAGACCTACCCGCCAACTACGACGATGAACGAATACGGTCTCGATTTATCCGTCTTTTCCAGAGCAAGCACTTGCAGAGTGTTCAAATCCAGTCCCTGTCGTCCGAGGAGATTGACTTCACAGAAGAGATACGCATGTTTGAGGACCAGGACATGCAAAATCTCTGGCACCGAAGCCGCCAAGAGGATAAGCTTTATCAGGAGCTCACTACGCTGGTAGCAAACAAGGAGCGGAACCTCCCTACCAAACTTCAGAAGGAGAAGTCAGTGAGTATAGCAGAATGCACCCTAGACGAGAGAGGCCTGTTGCGATTTCGAGACCGGATATGGATCCCTGACTGCGAACCACTTCGCACACGAATTATTCAAAATATTCACGACTCGCATATCACCGGCCATCCTGGACGAGATCTTACCTACTCAATCTTATCAAGGCAGTTCTTCTGGTCAGGTGTAGCAAGCGACGTGCGACGCTTTGTCCGTAACTGCGAGATTTGCGGGAGGAATACGATATGGAGAGAGACAAAGAAGGGCCTCCTTAAACCGCTACCGATCCCAGAACGTATATGGGGAGAACTTTCAATCGATTTTATTACGGACTTGCCGCCATCTGGACGCGATGACGCAACGAACTGCATGGTGGTCACTGATCGGCTGACAAAGGGAGTTGAACTGGAAGGCATGCACGATATCTCGGCAGAAGCAGTAGCACAACGGCTTTTAGAACGGCATTACCCTATTCATGGTATTCCAACGGCAATTACGAGCGATAGAGGACCACAATTCGTCAGCGATCTTTGGAGGCATTTCTGTAAACTCCTCAGCGTTGAGCAACGCCTGTCGACTGCCTATCATCCGCAAACCGATGGTGCAACAGAGCGAATGAACCAAGAGATTGAGAAGATGATTCGAATCTGGGCCACCTACACGCAAGAAAATTGGCTAGCACTTTTACCTATCGTTATGGGAGCAATCAACAATCGCGAGGCCTCATCTACTGGCCTAAGCCCCTTCTATTTTATGCACGGATATCACAATGAACCCATTCAGCTGGTAGAGGATCGAACTATTCAGGACCGACCAAAGAGAGACGGCGAAGCACTGGCAGAAGGCTTCCTTAAAAGACTCCAAGACGCAACAGAGTGGGCCCAAGCTGCGATCGCGATAACACAAGAGAAACAGCAACATCAAGCTAACAAGACAAGAACAGCAGCGCCCCAATACAAGGAGGGAGACTGGGTGTTTTTGAACCTTAGAAACGTGAAGACAACACGACCTTCCAAGAAGCTAGACTGGTTGCATGGAAAGTACAAAGTCTTGAGGCAGGTCAACTCCCACTCTTATCAACTTGACGTTCCGGGGAAGATCCATCCTGTCTTCCACGTAGACCTGCTTCGCTACGCGCCTAACGACTCTCTCCCATCGCAGAAGGTTGGAGACACTCAGCCAGGGCCTATACTTGTAGATGGAGACGAGCTATGGCTGGTTGAACGTATTCTGGGCGAACGCACAACAAGGCAGGGAGGGAAAGAAATCAAGGAGGCATATGTGAAGTGGGTGGACTATACTGAACCGACATGGGAACCTGTGAGTAACGTACTAAAGACTGACGCTTGGAGGAAATGGAGAAAACTACGCGCTAAAGGGAAAGGAGGGGGGTAATGTAACGGGCTGAGCCTCGAGTCACATGACTAGGCTGCTAGCCTAGTCGCTTCCCCGGCAACGTGAGGGCCGTGCGCCAACCCAAACAAAGCAGGCTCGCCGCTTGCGTCTTACCTTCTTTCTTCATCTTGACTGTAAATAGCATCTGGACTAGGTAGCTGGAATACAGTCCCTACAGACCGTTCACACTTACTTCGTTTACAGGAACGGTGGAAACACTTGTCACTGCTATTGCAAGAACATGGATTGAGCATCGTTAAGGCTTTGGTTCTGATCCTTTTGAAATATCCATATTGTTTCTTTGGCTGTGGTTACCATAAAACTCAGCAGTGAGGTACAAAGCGCCTGAATAGTATCATCTAGTATCGGCATTGCGTGCTGGCCAGCACTGGGGAGTGTTGGAATTGTTTCTAGGGAATCATAGATGATCAGTTGGTTCTTGCATACGCTGTATCTATCTGAGGGAGCAGTTTTATCGAGATTAGATGAATTACACATTACTTGCTATCGTCATCATCATCAGACTCAAACAATCAATCAACTCCCGAATTACACCTATAAGCTCTGACTATGGACTTTTCAAGCTTACGAACACCTGTTCTTATACCGTTGTCTCCATATGACCCCCCACATCCCTACACGATATCCCAACCTGAGCATCCGCTCTGACATTCTCCTTTCTATATCGATCATCAGGAACATGTAGTGTCTTACAAAGATTATTATTGGTACACTAAATTGTTTTATGCTTAATACAGTCGTCAGAAAAGGCATTCTGCAACAGTCCAATATCATCCACGTGATTCTTTCAATTTCTTCGCGCTTCTCACTTCGAAATCACGCAAGATTGGTCGTTCTCTTATATTATTAGCGCTCGGCGCCCCTCTCCGCCGTAATAAAGGCTAAGTGTAAGAGTCATTTGAGCCTTGCCATGTCTTTGTCGTTTACTTTCAATCATCACTCTTCTAATGGTCATCCTTGCGATGAGGCCAAGACATCGACACGCTGCTGAACTTACGGCCGTAGGCGATCTTCGGAAAGTGGAGAATTATGCACGCATATGCGCGGTGGCTCGTGCTCGTGCTTGTGCTCTTACACAATGTATCTAAACTTGGCAAGTCATACCTGAAGGGTAAGAAAGAGTGTGAGTACACGATTTCCCGACCAGTACATCATCACAAGTGATAATTGAAGTGAGTAGCTGGCCCATCATGTGTTCTGCGTATTGGAGACGATGTGGCGCGAACCCCGAAAATTTTGTGAGCTGACCTAACCTGTAATGTTGTTGGCTCCTGCTTCACGCACATACAACTGGGAAAAAACCACTCAATAGATAGCACCATTGGAGCCACCATATTCGCGATTATGATATAAGCTGTATTCGCCCTATCGATCGTTAGCAAAAATCCCATCGTCTCTTGTTCTCGGTCTTGATCTTTTGGTCATCCTTACCTCTGCCTAACATACAATGGACCACTTACCCCTCAAAGTACCCGGACCCATCAAACCCATTGAGCCCGATACCGGTGTCATCTAGCCCAGACTCGTCGCCAATCCCACCAAAAGATAAGAATTCCATGACACCCAATAAGCAGTCACAATCGTTAGCTAAGCGAAGGCGCTAAGATTGCCGCTCGAAGCTTGACCGGAACCGACCCGTTCTCAAGCTTTTCCGCGCTCCAACGTGCTTCCTACGCCCCGCCTATCTAGCCAAGCCCATCCAAGTCAAGATACCTTTCAGCTTGCTGTCGTGGCTTGTCGCATGTGCATGTTTTGCTTTTCAAGAGTGTGCCTATTTGCTCTTGCTAAAAGCCCAGCTGGAACGGTCAGCCAGCAAGCTGTCGAGCCTGGCGATTACCGTATGCCGTGCGCTCGTATGATTGGATACGAATACACTGTGTGTAAGTTTCGTAACTCAGAAATTTGCATCTTATCTATGTAATCTGTTGCGTTATCAGCAGCGTACCAGGGCGCGCGAATCGCTTCCACTCGGGGGTGTGGACCTTTGCTGCTCCAACCCCACGAAAGCCGTTCTCAACCATGCATAATGCACAATGCTGGGATAATAATATTTACTGTCGTCGTCGGTCGTTAATGGCCGAAATGTACGCTAGCCCTATGGCTCGCTGCGGCTGCCTCGTGCGGCCCTTTGGAAAATGGATCGGCGCTGGCTTTATCTTCAAGGTCGCCCTCCGTTTTTTGCTATATCTTGACAAAGGCCTTCTCTTGCGCTTCAGCACAGGGTCAGATCGCCAACTGGACTTTTCATTCTCGAAGAACTTCGAGTTTTGTCCAGTATGAGTACTACTCCGCCGCTCAGCCAAGGCTTCGGCTATGGCATTGTCATTGGTCTTGGTTTTGCCTTCTCGTAAGTTGGGCTTACTTTCCACCAAAATATTTACTTACCAGTCTAGTTTTGGAATGATCTTGACGACATTCGTTCTCAAGAGATACAACTATGAACTTCAAACTTCAGAGATGTTTTCCACGGCTGGACGTACAGTCAAGTCTGGACTTGTCGCCTCAGCAGTAGTTTCGTCGTGGACTTGGGCAGCAACGCTACTCCAATCCAGCGCCGTCGCATATCGATATGGTGTATCTGGACCGTTCTGGTACGCTTCGGGTGCGACTGTACAGATCATCTTGTTTGCTACAATTGCTATTGAGCTGAAGCGAAGAGCTCCTAACGCCCATACCTTTCTTGAGGTTATTCGCGCTAGATACGGTACCGTGACACACATAGTGTTCATGGTATTTGGTCTCTTCACCAATATTCTCGTCACTTCCATGCTGTTGACTGGAGGCTCCGCTGTTGTGACATCGGTACGTGGACAAGAATTACTTCATAGCCGCACACTAACTCGTCAAGCTCACCGGTATGCCCACTGCTGCTGCATGCTTCTTGCTGCCTGTTGGTGTGGTCTTGTACACTATGTTCGGAGGTATCAAAGCGACATTTCTGACGGACTATGGTATGCTCTTATGTCCAAATCGTAGCTCAAAGCCACTGACACGATCTCAGCACACACTGTCGTCATCTTGGTCATTCTTTTGATGTTTGCATTCACCGCATACGCCACTAACGAGCACCTCGGAAGTCCTGGCAAAGTCTTCGATTTATTGGTTCAAGCCGCTGCGGATCACCCGGTTGAAGGAAACGCAGGTGGCTCGTATATGACTATGCGCTCAAAAGAGGGAGCTATCTTCTTCGTGATCAATATTGTAGGCAACTTTGGAACCGTCTTTTGCGACAACGGTTACTATAACAAGGCCATTGCCGCTAGTCCTGTAGACGCCCTACCAGGTTACATCATCGGCGGTCTCTCCTGGTTCGCAATTCCGTGGCTCGCGGCTACGACTATGGGTCTCAGTGCTCTTGCACTGGAGAGTAACCCTGTATTTCCTGGATACCCGAACCGCATGGCCGACGCTGACGTGACTGCTGGGCTCGTGCTGCCTACAGCCGCTGTCGCCTTGATGGGATCAGGAGGGGCTGCTGCTGTTTTGCTCCTAGTTTTCATGGCAGTGACTTCTGCGATGTGTAGGTGCAACCCAATGATGTAGAAATAGGGTCTTTACTAACTCTAAACCAGCTGCAGAACTCATCGCTGTTTCATCCATCTTTACCTATGATTTCTACCAGGTAAGCATCTTCCTCACTTTCATGATTGAAAGGGAACTAACAGTTTTCAGACATACATCAACCCCGCTGCTACTGGAAGACAGCTCATCTACATGTCGCATACCATGGTTGTTGGCTTCGCTGTCGCGATGGCAGCATGGTCAACCGGCTTGTTCTATATCGGCATCTCCATGGGCTACCTGTATCTTCTTATGGGCGTTATAATCTCCTCCGCCGTTCTCCCCGCAACCCTAACGCTCATGTGGTCGAAAATGAACTGGGCTGCTGCTACATTCACACCACCACTCGGCTTCGCATGCTCGTTGATCGCATGGCTTGTTACAGCCCAGAAAGAGAGTGGAGAGCTCACAGTTGCTTCAACAGGCGCCAACAACCCCATGTTGGCAGGAAACGTGGTCGCACTACTCTCGCCACTGATCTTCGTTCCCATGCTGACATACTCGTTTGGACCGCAAAACTATGATTGGGTCAGCATGAAGGCGATCCGAAAAGGCGATGACCACGACCTTGCTCTCGCTGCAAACGTTGATCTAGAGCGCGTTCCAGGCGAACAACGACGCGCCATTGACGCCGAAGAGGAAGAGCAAGCCAAGCTTCTCAAAGCGTCCCGCATTGCTCGCTGGTTGACCCTTTTCATGGCTGTATCGTTCCTCGTGCTCTGGCCCATGCCCATGTACGGCTCATCATACATTTTCAGCAAGAAATTCTTTACCGGATGGGTCGTTATCGGTATTCTCTGGATGTTCTGCTCCTGCTTCGCTGTAGGGCTGTATCCGCTTTGGGAAGGCAGGAAGACCAGTGTACGGACATTCAAGTCGATTTACTGGGACATCACGGGAAAGAAGAAGCCGAATAAGGCTATGGAGGTTACTGAGGGCGAAGGCACGGATACGCCTCCCGAAGCCGTGTCTGAGAAGATGAAGGGGTAGGATCTAGCTTGGGTTTCCGAAACAGCATGTAGAGAATGACTTTTTTGGTGTTAAGTCGATTTGGCGCTTCGTTTGATGCAAGATACCATATTGTGAATGAACAAATTCATCAAGTCCGCACTTACCTTTTTATATCTCGTTTCGTTCCTCACATGTACTGTTACTGGCGTTGCTCGGGTGGCAGGTGCCCCGCTATCCCCCACTAGCGCGTCACGCTTGTAATTCGACGCGTCGAGCGGGTCGATTAGCCCCTTCCTCATGTAGCACTTAGAGACTACTTCAACGCACCACACTTCAACCTTGTGGTTCTGCGAAACACCCGTACACCTTCCACTATTCACCATGGCTCGTAAGATGTCGGCAGAAGAGTACCAAGCACTCGGGCGCGAGTACTATAAGCTCAAGCAGTACGACAAGGCCATAGATACGTTTACGACTGGCATTGAGGCGTGTCCAACCGCTAGTCTTTACGATTACCGCGCTGCTACCTACGAAAAGCTAGATAACTTCAACGCTTCTGTCAAGGATGGTAGAGAGATGATCAGGCTGAACAAGAAAGACGTAAAGGGCTATCTGCGCACAGCAAGCGTGCTAGAGAAGATGAACAAGCCAGAAACCGCACTTGGTATCTACAAGTACGGCATGAAGAACGTTCCTGTCGATGACAAAAATTTCAAGGTATTGCGTCGTCGTGCACATGAATGTGCAATAGTTCGTTGACGTACGATTTCAGCTTCTCCAACAACTCCATGACAAACTTACACGCACTCTATCACCGCCAGCAGCTATGGATCCCTTCACCGTGCTGCCCAGTGAGCTCGCGGAAATGGTCTTTGAGTATCTCACCTTCCGGCAAAAAGTAAACTGCATGCGCGTCAGTAAAGGCTGGCGCGACTACCTCTCCAAGTTGCCGAAGCTGTGGCTACACCTTGACCTCTCTGGCGCCCGGAGGCCTGTTCCACGTGCATTCGTCAACACGATGTTCAAGCGGTCAGAGTACCGCATGTCGCGCATAACGATCCATCGCTTCGAGCATATGGATGTGCTCCACAACCTTGCTATAGCCGCCAAGTATCTCACCGACATGGAGTTGATTTCGCTGCCGCACAAATCCTCTCCGGCGCTCCTTGAGATTGTGCGAGCCGCAAAGAATCTCAAGAGGTGTATCATACACGAGACAATCACACTCAGCCATGTTGAAAGCATACTTGAAGCGCGACCTTTACTCGAGCATGTCCTCTTCAACGCCTCGGATCCCATGGCATCGAGAGATCGAACTGGACAATGGCCCGTAACACTAAACAATCTGCAATCATTCACTATGCACGTCAGCGGCGGGATGTACGACGAGCGCTTTGACTTCACCAGGTTCTTCAGCCGTACACCATCACTACGATCCTTCTCACTTAAAGGCCTCACTAACGGAAACAACCCTCTCAACACCTGGCCAACTGACATATCACTCCTTCCCCCATTAACAAGTCTCTCTATAAAAGACTCGGGAAGAATACGCGTCAACCACCTCCCCCCCACTCTCCAATCTCTCGAAATACACAGCCTAGGCTTCCGCGATAGTCTGGCCGTTAACGAGTTGTTACTATCCAAATTTCCCGAACTCACGCACCTCAGCCTCTCAGGCTACGAAAACGTACCCGCAGACTTCTTGCATCTCCTCCTCGACGGAATCGCCCAATTGGACGATGGCCCAGAAGCTCTGCTGTCTAATAAGCCATTAGTCTCATTGAAGCTTGGCGTAACTGTAGAGGACGGCGACGACATAGACCTTGGAACCACATTGTCATTTTCAAGGCGGGTTCTCACTCCCGCACTGCAACACCTCACTATGCCGGGTATGAAGTGCACCGACGATGATATAGAGGCACTGGTTAGGTGTAAAACGGGGTTGAAGGACATTGATCTCTCCTGTACACAGATTACGGGCGCTGCAATTGTCATGCTGGCTGACAAGGTACCGACGCTCGAAAGCATCAAGGTACATGATTGTAGGAAAATTAGTAGCCGCGAGGCGATTGAGTATGCGGCTCGTCGCGGTGTTCGTGTTGATTACCGTATGAATGAGCACAAGGGTGGACGGAAGATTCGGATGTAGTGGTCTGAAGGAGAGGGGATGGGGAGAGGGTTATCAATATTGATCTAAAGCTAGTGACTGTTAATACTATGTTATTATCGAGTCAAGAATGAGAGCATGTCGTGTCGACTACTTGCTTATATTGTTGCTACATTACCACATCAAAACCCGTCGGTATCAACATTAGCCTCACATCCATTCAGCATCATTAACAACACAAGCACAATCCATCACAACAGCAAGGGAAACAAGACACGTCTACACCAGAGCAAAGAGAAACGTTGATACCATCTACCAACGAGCACACACTATCAGTGTACAGTTCATATTTTCGTCAGCACCAGCCGCCGTTACCCCAAAAAGTGAGACCTAGAGGATCCAAGGCACACACGAAAAAAAAAGTCCCTTGCACCCGCGCAATGCAATGAACCAGATCGAGCCAAAAACGCCGCCACTATCACCCAATTAACCCACCGTTGGAGGAAAACAAAAAGAAAACACCAGCGCCGCGCAAATATGCTTGTGAAGGAAAACAAAACTGATTCGGGACGTGGGAAATACGATTCAAAGAGTTTCACTGCAAGTCAAAGAAGTCCCGCTCTCGTAAGTGGCCTCTAGTTGACGTCCATACCATCGTCTTCAGCCTCTTCAATCTCGTCGTCTTCACCACCAGTCAAGACACCTGTACTGCCTAGACTGCGCTTGCGACTGCTTCCGTGAAAAGAACGACCGGTGACTTGAGTCAGGAGATCGAGGTCCTCGCCACCGATGATGCGTGCTTCTGGGGCGGCTTCACAGCTAAGTTCGATGAGACTGGCGGGACTGAGGTTGCGGTAGCCTGCGGTGCGGACGATACGACCGAAGTTGTCCATGCAGAACGTAGCTGCGCGTTGCTTGAGCCAGTCCTCGCCAGCGGTGGCGGCACGCTCCCATATTATCGCTGCGTGCTCAATGTCCAGCTCCCTGCCTAAACGGTTTACGCAAAGGAGGCGGAGACGAGGCATATCGTAGATGTTGGACATGACGAGCATGCCTGCTACGTCGCTCAGTGAAGGTCCGTTTTGTGGGTTGGGCGCAATACTGTCGGTGTATAAGTAGAACAGGAAGGCGCGCACCGCAGAGTACGGCTCAGGTATGTGCATCTTCTTGGAGTGGAATTCGGCCATTTGGGCACTCCAAAGGCGGGCGAAATGAGGCCAACGAGCGTGAAGGATTAGCTTGTGAACATGAATTGGGCGCGAGACTGGAGTTACGACTGTTGATGCGCCGTTCGCATCGGGTGTAGCAACATCAACGTAGTCGTCGTCATCTGGATCTGCGGTGATGATAAAGTCTGCACCGCTGCCGCTCTCTGGTGGTTGATCAAACGTCAAGGATAAATCCGCGCCGATACCAGTAAGATGTGACGACACGTTTGCGTCGGAAGAGGGCATCATCTTCGAGCGTGTATCCGAGGCTAACTCGTTACCCAGGATTCCGTATTTGCGCAGGTCAATCGCCAGTACATCGCTAAGATACTCGCCGTTATGGTTCCCGTCATTCGCCGACTCGATTGGACTGCCCAGTAACCAGGCATGTGTTCCTTCGGGGTTGGTGGTGCAGTAGTGCCAGCGGTAGTTGGGGCTATACAGGTCCTTTCCTTCTGCTAGCTTCTGCCATCGCAACGAATCAAGCTCCAAGCTCGACAGACTTGTCTCGCAACTTAATTCTGCAGGCGTAACGAAATCTAGCATGCAACCGGATGAGAAGATGTGAAAGTGGGTACCCGCGGCCTGAGAGGGTAGATTGGGACTTGAGTGGAATTTGAGCGACGAGATGGATCCAGGTGCAACATAAGGTGAACGACTGGAACTCATTCCATGGTATGATTGAACACTGGAATTAGCGGTATAACCAGTGCTCCCGGTGGCTAGTTGACCTGATGCTGGCATAGGGTAGCGGTGACGGGATGAAGTTAGTTGTCGGTCGGCGGTTCCATACTTCATAGCATGCTCAAATTCGGGGCTGCCGCGAAGATCCAGCCACCATATCTCGTTGCTCTTTTCCATGTCGTCGTTGATACCTCCAAAGATCCAGATGCGACCGTTCCAGATCCAGCTGGCATGGTCGTAACGAGGGACGAATCGCCATGTCCGCGACCATGTCCATGTCTTTAGATCGAGGTAGCAGATGTCGTCTAGAACGCTGTCGTGCCCCGTCTGACCACCGCTGATGTATAATTTGTCATCGTAGATTACTGCGGAATGGCGTGCGCGACCGCGTGGAATAGGTCCGTGTAGTTCAGGCTGTGTCCAGTGGGCAGTCTTTAGGTCAAAGACGATTACATCGGCAAGATGTTGTCGGTGCTCGTTCTCTCCGCCAAATACTAGGAGTTTATTGCCTTGCCAAAGACATGCAGTGTGTCCTAGGGTGTGTTAGTGCCGGAACCAGCGGAAAACACGCGGTATGCATACCCATCCGTACTCCTGGGATATCTCCATAGTTGTCAACGAGATTCCATTGCCGTGTGACAAGGTTGAGGCGAAGTACATGGTTATATACTAGTCTAGTCAGCACAGGCTCTGTCACATGTTCGTAGCTTTCCCTGAGACAAGCCGCGACACTCGCACAAGGCGACTATATCGACGTACCCTCGTCTGTGTACTGATCAAAACCACCAAAAGCGTATATCTGGTCATCTCCAACGTACGTGACCGAGGCGTTCACAAGGCAGGCGGGCTTGGCACCAATTGTGGATATCATTTTCGGTTTGTAGCCTTCAGCGGCCGATCTGCGACTTCGGACGGGACTCGCGGACATGAGGAACGTGTTGTTATTCGATCCGGCCGATCCAGGCGTAGTGGAATGGTGGGAGAGGGCGGGCGAGGGTGTCGAGGTGACGGCGGGGTTGAGGATGTTGGACGGGAAGGCGGATCGCGGAGGTGGATGTGCCATTGAGATGGTAGTCGGTAAACAGCGTGGGGTAGGTTTGTCGTCAAAGCCCAGGTGGGCAGGATGTGCCTTTGTCTTAGGCTAGTAGAATGTTTGAAGTCGAGTTGGGCTGGACGTGCATATTGCCGCCCGTCACCGCCCAGGCTGGAAACGGAAGCGCCGACCACACCGCTGTCACTGCGCACGACTAAGCCCTGCAACCGACTCGGAAAGGAGCGACGCCGCTATGTGAATCAAGTAATCAACGCCCTGAAACAGCTCCGAATAATGCGAATAGGAACAGGCGACGCACATGTGGCGGTGCAAAGGGATCGCAAGAGTATAGGGATATAACGGAAGTTGCGCTGGACGACGTCTTTGAGCAGGTCTACTAGGAAAGCCGGTATTCATCAACGATACCCATTATAATGTGGCATCATGGCATCTGATGCAGCGATTACTGCAGGCGGCCTTCATAAGCCGGACGCAGCAGGCTCTCATCTCGGCTCGATCGCGCCCAGTCATGTGATGTCATTGTCCTGCCAGCGCAGCGCCCACGGCCTCGGGTTCGTTGCCCGGCCAACCCAAGCGTAAACAAAGAATACTTAAACGCCCCCATACCTGCCCATCTACATGCTCATTACCACTCTCTCCACACCATCCGCACTTCCTTGCATCTCCATCTCCAGATCACAAACCAATCAATTACTTTCGAATCAATACTTTAGAGCATCGATTACAGCATTGTCTAATACTAATCTTTACAACTTACAGCCCCCATACTGTATGACTACCCAGCGACAATGCGTTGAGCTCGTAACTAATACCACTTCAGCAGACGACTATTCAAGTCATGGCAAGCTCAGCAGTCTGCCTGACTCCGGTCAAGAACCGCTCCTCCGTCTTCAACACTCGTACCGCTGGCGGTCGGATACCATTGACGCCCTCTCCCCGCACCCCCCGGACACAGACTCCCGATGTGCAGGCACACGAGTCGATCCATGGCGGCAACTTCATGGCTCGCATCCAGCGCTCCGTCTCCAAGACAACCCGCGACTCCCCCAAGTCCAACATTGCTCGCAACCACACTCCCCGCAAGCTAGAGCTCGGTGTATCAGAATGGTCGCTCACCGGAACTGGTACCAACGCCTCATCAAAGGCAGCTACCAAGGCAAAGAAGGAGAAAAAGGAAGGTGTCATCCGTGCTCGCCCTACCAAGACCCGCATCACATACAACGCTGCCGACCGTTTCATCCCCAACCGGACTGCAAGCGAGGCCATCCGCAGCACTGGCGCAGGCAAGCTCGATGTTGAGCAGCGTCCCAAGTCTAGCTCCAAGGCTGAGGGCTCAGCTGTGCTGGCCAACGCTGCGAGCGCATTCGACCTTGGTGGCCGCGGTTCAGAGGAGGATATCACACTATCTCTTGAGGGCCTCAGCCTCGACGACGAAGAGGAGGAGGGCCGGTCACGCGCGAAGCCTGCTCCTGGCCAAGCTGCATACCAGTCCACACTCGCTTCAGCATGCGATATCAACACCAACACCCGCATTCTTGCATTCAAGCCTGCGCCTCCAGAGTCATCCAAGCCCATCGACCTTCGCACCCAGTACAACCGTCCCCTCAAGCCCTCCACCGCCGCGAACGCACAGAGCCGTCGTCGCATTCCGTCAGCACCCGAGCGTGTCCTCGATGCTCCCGGTCTGGTCGATGACTACTACCTGAACCTTCTCGACTGGTCCTCTGGCAACCAAGTCGCCATTGGTCTCGAGCGCTCCGTCTACGTCTGGTCAGCCGACTCCGGTTCCGTAGCTTCTCTTCTTGAGTGCCCTGCGGATACCTACATCTCTTCCGTCAAGTGGTCCGGTGACGGTGCCTACGTTGGTGTCGGTCTCGGCACGGGTGAGGTTCAGATCTGGGATGTCGAGGAGCAGACCAAGCTTCGTAGCATGTTCGGTCACGAGACCCGTGTTGGTGTTATGGGATGGAACAAGCACATTCTCTCGACTGGTGCTCGCTCAGGACTGGTCTACAACCACGATGTCCGCATCGCTCAACACAAGATCGCTGAGCTCGTCTCTCACACTGGAGAGGTCTGCGGCCTTGAGTGGCGCGCCGACGGTGCCCAGCTCGCCACTGGTGCCAACGACAACATGGTCAACATCTGGGACGCTCGCGCCCTTGCTGCCCCCAAGTTCACCAAGACCAACCACCGTGCTGCCGTCAAGGCCGTCTCATGGTGCCCTTGGCAATCCAACCTCCTGGCCACTGGCGGTGGATCCAACGATCGTCAGATCTACTTCTGGAACACCACCACCGGTGCGCGTATCAACCACATCCCCACCGACTCCCAGGTCACCTCCCTTCGATGGAGCACCCACTACAAGGAGATTGTCAGCACCGGTGGCTTCCCCGACAACAGCTTGAGCATCTGGAGCTACCCCTCCGGCGTCAAGAACATGGAGGTTCCCGCCCACGAGTCCCGTGTCCTTCACAGCTGCCTCAGCCCTGATGGTCAGATGCTCGCTACCGCTGCTGCCGATGAGTCTCTCAAGTTCTGGAAGATCTTCGAGAAGAAGCCCGGCCAGCCTTCCGTCGCCGCTGCTGGCTCTGCTTCCATGAAGCCCAGCGCCACCAAGCAGATGACCATCCGTTAAGTCCACTGCGGTTGAGTGAAGAGCTTGCACAATCTAGTGCAACCCTGAGAGGAGCATTTGGCTCAGTATCAGTCACAAATGTCTATGGACATTTCCAACTACCGGCTTGCGCAATGGAGCTGGTATCAAATCATCCGACTCTACGCGCAACGGTAAGTTGGTAAGTATCACATCTCGGTTTAAGGGTATGTGACGCGATCCTAAATCAGGACCTTCCACATCTACCCTCGGAAACAACTGTCAACAATGATGGGCTGGGTTTGGTTTTCCCAAATGGATTTTTCTTGTCCAACACATCTTAGCAAGCGAGGCGTCTCGGAAGCATTTACACAAAGGCGTTGAAATTAACAATAACTGGCCTTCTGAGCATCCTATGGACAATGGCAAAGTTCATGACTTTTTACGATATCTTGGGAAAGGAAGAGAGATGACAACCGGGCTCAGTCTTGGGTCTTTTTTTCGAGGGAGTTTTTGAACTGGTTCTTTTTACTTGGTTCCAGTGGTGCGCTGGTCTTTTGCGTGCTGGGGTGTTTTTGGGCCACATGTGGGATTGCGACATGTGATGGGCGTTAGTCAGTAAATCTTGAAGTATCAATGAAAATTCTTTGAATAATATTCTTTATGCACTGCTGTCATTCACTTGCTTCTCACGCGACGGGATAAGAGTTATAATTGTAGATGGAGAAGAACCGCATTTGAGATGCAGAAGAATGTTTGGATCGATTGGAAGCCCGGGTCACCAGTATACGTGGTGTATGAAGCTAACCCGAGCTTCTACTCAACCAACCGTATTTCTGCATCTCAAATATTGCTTTTGCATATGGGGGTTTCATTCATTCGTGACGGTAACAACCTTCTCCCTCTTCCCCTGGCCTATACCTATAAAACCACTCAGTCTGACATATGCCATTGCTTCTCCCCAACAACTCCCACTCTATCACAAACAAACCCCCTCTTCTCCTCACATTCCCGCCTCCCCAGTTAATTAACCCCGGAGTCGGGATCATCCCCGCCCCACCGTCAACTTGGGATTGGTTCGGCTCCGCGACCGCTTCCAACGCAAACGCGACCGACCGACCCCAAAGCTAAAGTAGCAATTATTGATCGTTCCACTCCATATACAGATCCTTACTGCTCAAGGCAGTCACGCTATGCACTAACGCTGCCGAGCGAGCCGATCAGTCGACCGCTGGAGAATTCCTGTTTACCGGAAAGCGCGCATTACGCTGGGGTTACGACATGTTTGTCGTCGTCGTCGGGCAGCGGAGAAATACTGCATGTGTGATGCAAAGAAAATTTCGGTTGGGAATTGACGGTGGTGTTCAGGGGATTAAGGCGCTGGAATGCATTTCCACGCCTGGCGTGGGCGGATCGATACGGAGGGGTTGTTCTAATTGCGGCATGAGGGATTTCATCATGTAGACTAGATCTGCGGCTTTGAATGGTTTTTGCATGACGCGGTCCTGTGGGTGGGTGTTAGTTTACTTCTCTCCTTCCCTACATAGCAAAGTGGAAAAAAAACTCACTGCACCAGCTGCAATAGCGGTATCAATCTGTTCCTTGCGTACATTCGCCGTAACGGCGATGATAGGCAAACGAACCGTAGACGTGTGCAATACAGCTTCTCTCTGGCGGATCCGACGCATAGCGCCCAGGCCGTCTAGGACAGGCATCTCTAGATCCATGAGTACGATGTCGAAGCGTTGGCGTTCTAGGGCGTCGAGAGCTTCCAGCCCATGGTTTGCGACGGAGACGTGACAGCCGGCTTTTCTGAGCTGGCGGCCTAAGACCTGTTGATTGATAATGTTGTCTTCGACAAGTAGGACGTGGAGTTGGCGAGCCGCAGCTTCGTGTTTACCAGCTTGTTGGAACATCTCTTTTATCGTCTTGGGCTGGCGTTGTACGCGTCGCGTCTTTACGTAGAAGCCGAATGTGGAGCCGTGGCCGAGGATGGAGGATACACCAATTTCGCCGCCTTGTTTCTCGGTGAGCTCCTTGGAGATGAAGAGGCCGAGGCCGCTGCCGCCGTATTTGACATGTGTTTTCACGTTTGCTTGACGGAATCGTTCGAAGATTTTGTAAATATCTTTTTCTTGGAGGCCGATACCTGAATCTTTTACACTAAAGGTTAGATACAGTTCTTCGCCAGTGCCCCAGTCCGGGTTGCTGGTTACGTCGCTATCTTGCTTGCCGTCTGTGGCCCAGAACATGTTGTCGGGGAAGAGACTGCGTGGTTGCGATTTACTGACGCCGAAGCGGATGGAGATGGCGGGCTCTTTCGACGGCTTGACGAATTTGATGGCGTTGGTTAGGAGGTTGATGAAGATTTGCGTCACTCGAGATGGGTCGAAACATAGGTAGTCGATATCCAGCTCCGAGAGAGACGGGTCTTGTGTGACGCTACAGGTGATCTTGTTCGTCTTGAGCTCAGCATGGAAGATGCTGAGGATGGAATCAACGAGCTTTGCGGGTTTGACGGCCACGGGCGTTATCGATAGGAGCATGGAGTCGAGTTTACTCAGGGTGAGAACGTCGTCGATGATGCGCTTCTGGTGGTTCGCACACTGCATGATGATTTTTGCGCTTTGTAAGTTGTCATCCAAAGTATCGAGAACGGGCCTGGGTGCATCGGCCAGCTGTGCCCGGCATTCTTCAACCGTGTTCGTGATGGCATCTGCACAGTGTACAATGGCACTCAGCGGATTCCGCATCTCATGCGATACCACATCAATAAAGGCTTCCTGTTGTCGTTTCGCTTCTCTGGCCTCGGCGGCTAATCGAGCTTGGAATTTCTGCGCCCAGCACAGTCGACTAATGTCTGTGGTGCAAGCCATTACACTCGCCACATTGCCATGTTCATCGCGGTATGGAAAGGCAAGAACCTGGAGCTGCGCGGGCTCAGGCTCGCCTGTGGGAGGCGTGTATAGTCGCTTCAAGCGTAGATCGGCCGTGATGTGGTCCGCGCCCTTTAGCAGACGTTCCCACATCTCTTCTGCTTTGGCGCGGTCGTCGTCGTGAAACGCATCGAGGAAAGCGAGGTCAACTGAATGATCTGAGGGGGACCTCCCAGCTAATTGATAGTAGTGGTCGTTCGCCCAGAGCATGTATCCATCCAGAGAAACATGGCACATGCCTACTGACGCATGATCGATAAGATGCCGTAGCTTAAGATCGCTAAAAGCAAGATCCGCTTCAAGTTGCTCCTGACGCCTCTTGTTCGATTCGGCGTCGGTTGCGTGGGATACAACGCTAGAGACCATGCGACTCAGGTCTCGGATGAATTGCTCGCATATCTCGTCGTGTGGGCGATAAGGATTGGTGCCGAAAACGAGATAGCCGAAAAGACGCGAACCGCACATGATGGGTAAGATGACAATCTTCTTAGAAGGCGCGCCCCAGCCCTTCCAACAGGTAGACGCGAATCGCTCGTCGCGATCGATGACCACGGGGTCCGTACCAGCTCGGCGCATATCCGGCACCAGCCCTTCCTCGCTGTCAATGGTCGCTGTATCAACTAAGAGTCTGTGGCCTTCTGGCAAACCCCTGTATCCATGCAGTTTCAACATGTTAGATCCCGCACTCTCCTCCATTTTGTAGAGCATAGCCATGGGTACATCGTAGGCATTCGTCTCGAGCGTAGCGAGAATGTGGGAACAAACCGCGTCGACGGACTGGCAGGGAACTGAAGCGAGCTTGTTCAAGCAATTTGTGCGCCGCTCGGCCAGTTTCTGACTTGTGACTTCATAGCTAGTGCTGGTGTCAGTGCTGTTTAAAATTTGTCATGCTCGTCACGAGACTGAAAACCCAGGGTCCACAAAAACTCACACGGTGTTGATGAAGCCCTCGGGTGCACCTGGCATGCCCACAGGGCTGAAGCCGCCTGAAAAGAAGGCCTCTTCGCGATATCCCTTGCGCTCTACGATGGTGGAGGTGGCAGAACTATAGTTGACACCAGTGCCAGTCCTCGTGGCCTGGTCAAAGTAGGCGCGGATGGACGGCCATAGATCTGGGTAGCCATCTTGGAAGAGAGAGCCCATGAGTTTGGG